GCTCGCATTCGGCTCGCGAGACAGATTTGGACTGAATTCGTAAGGTTTTCGCTTAATTAGCCGCAAATTGGGCCTACATAAATGGCCAACAAACAGCGGCAGCTAATTGGCCAATTGCGTTGCGACAAGCCGCCAAGTCGCCAGCGGGCACACGTGTATGTCGTAGCTGGGGCTCAGGTTGGGGTGTCAGAGCCGCAGTCTGCTCAGATATACATATATATATATATATAATATATGTTATATAATTGCAAGCGTGGCGCGGCAATCGACTGATTGATCAAAGATACAAATATGTATATATAAATATATATAGTAGCCATAGCTTTGGCTACTAATGATTGGCTATAAAACGATTTTGCACTAGCCGCAACAGCAACAACCTCTGCATTAATTAATGTTAATTGCGACGGCCTTTTACAGCAGCTTTACGGCAACAGAGCATGCCACACTAGACGATGCCCTGTAAATGTACATGTAACAGAGTCTATATACCAATCTTTAGATGTAGCTCTAAAAAACTGCGACTCAACTGTGAAATGCAAAGCAGAATGAATGGAAGACTATCTCTATGCACTTGTTATATAGAGTCTACATACCTAATTTGAAAGCTGTTGCCCCTTCATACTCCGAGTTGACAGGGTATAGAAGGCAGGTCGGCCAGCACGACTCGACTTTGGATGCTGATGAATAAAATATGCGAAATGGGATGCAAAAAATAAATGCTCAACTATTATCACCGACTGTGGCTAGTTGATAAATACAGGGTATATAGCGTAAAATAACTGGGCCAAGTCAAAAAGAAAACTAAACGTTGAACAATTTTGTTGTTTGCAGAGCAGCTCAGGTGGTTCGATCGAGTAGGGGGGGGGGGGGGGACTAGCCGGGCTGTCAGGTTGGCTTTTAGTCGCACAAATTCAATTGCAACAAAATTATTCACATACTCGCATTCAGTTTTGGCCGGGCTGCTCAATACCAGCGCCAATTTGTTTATTGAATGCCGAATATGAATAAAAAAAAAACACTACACATAATAAAAGAAAAAAAAAAAACAATATATAGAAGAAGCAGAAAAGAAATAAAAGCAAAACAAATAAAACTTGGTGCTCGCCTAACTGGTTTCGGCAGCTGCCATATAAATAATTAGCAAAAACCAACAACGCTTTATAAATCAGACACAAACAGCACAAGCGACCGGCCCCAATGCTCCAACCTCCCCCCTCTCCCCATCTCTTTGCCGCTTACCCCACAGCACACAGCGTGTGATCACCTGCGACAACCCACATGGCGCACCTGCCTGTGCCCACAACCAATGCAATCGACTCTGTCTGTTGCCTAGCCCGGCGAAGGGTATTCAGCTTTGGCCACAAGCGAAGGCTCTAGAAGCTGCCAGAGCGTCGTCTATTCGAGATGTTCTTTGTGTAGAACAAAACTGAACGTATCGCTTCAACTTAACCTCACTGCTCAGCTTCTATGTTGCCTTTGCAGACATTGCTAATAGACTTCTATTCCTAGAGGAACTCCTTCAAAAGGCATCCAATTGGAATGATAATTTTCTAGCTCTTAAGTTCATAACATATTCTTTTGCTTAAGATTTCCAGCCAAGAATATGTAACATATATATGTTATATGCGCAAGAGCGAAAGATCTTACTGTAGGTATTCAATATCTAATTCAGATATATGATGCATAAGTAAGGGTATTCAAGCTGCGGCGCGGCAAAAGATCTGATTGCTTCAATAAGCATCTCTGCAAGTATTTAAAGTATATCTGAAACGTATGATGGTTAAGTAAGGGTATTCAAGCTGCGGCGCAGCAAAAGCTGTCAATTTCTTTGATTTAATTTTGTTTTGCTTCGATTTTTTTCAGCCGCCTTTTTTTTATTATTTCTTTTTTTTTTTTTTTTGCCAGCTCAACGCAAAAAATGTACGTTTGTGCTTTTAATTTGAGCTGCGCTTTTTTATATTAATATTATTATTTTTTTTTTTTTTATTGGAGGGGGCCTGGCGAGCTGGAGGAGTGGGGGGGGGGCTTATACATGATGTGTTGGTGTTTAAAAAATGTTTTGTTTAGTTTTGTAATTATTACAAATTATTTAACTAGCGCCGCATGTTGAGGAAACAGACGCGTCATGGAATTATTCGAAGAGCACACCAACAGAGATAATGCTCACGAAGAATATATATGCTGCTGATCAGGCAAGATCATGATCAGTGCACGACGACATTGGCTTCTTTTCTAGAAATACTAGAAATACTAGAGCTGTGCCGCTCGCTGGGGTTCATTTGACTAGACGCTTGGTTCATGACCTCGTCTTTCGGTTTTAGTTAAGCAACAACAACAACAACAACAACTAATTGTAGCTGCAATTGCCGCTGATCCAGCTGGCAACTGGGCAACGACGGGCAACGACGGGCAACGCCAGGGCGACGATTGCATTTGTAATGAACGGACAAGGTCGACGCTTCATTAATGCGAATCGAGTGCCAAGTGTGCCCGACGCAAAGCTGCCTGCTATGCGCACTCGCACAACTTTCCCATGGCGCCCAAAACAAAAAAAAAAAAAAAAAAAATAAAGTACGAACAAATTGAAAAAATAAATACCCAAAAAAATATCATAAACGAAAAGTGAAAGGCAGCGACAACAACAACAGATCTGATAAGTGCGCAATGTCAATTGCAAGTGCTTTATAAATAGCCACAAATGGACGCCCCCACACACACACGCACACACACACACACACCTAGTTATATCTCTCAATATCTGAACACTCGACTCGCATATGTCAAATGGCGGCAAATGCCTTTGCCGTAAGCCCAAAGCGCACAGTTACATGAAATATGAATTTAATGCGCATACTTTCCATTTACACACACACACACACACACACACACACACACACACACAGAGACCCCTATCAAGTACATCCAAATATATATGCATATATCATATTAATATAATCCCCAAATAGTCGCAAATCTTGTGTGTGTATATTTTCGCATGCCAATGCGAATCAATAAACAAATTGTTCACATTTAGCATATATAACATATGCTATGCGATAGGCAATACGCACCTAATGTTCAGGTACTTGGTATATAAATAGGGCGTAAATATAGACAGTAAATAGCATTGCCATTGGCCATCATAATATTATCCAGATTGAGTTTATTTTGCTTAGCTCTCACGTTGCGATCCCATTGACATTAATAGATGTGAAGATCCGGCTTTCTACCTCCTACAGTTGATTTTGTTTATACATGCATAATATTTATACATATTTATGAAATAATATGCCAATTGCTTGATGGGGGTAACACTGCCTATGTCTGCCATTTATTGCATTCTCTCCTCTTCGAACGGCATCCTTAAAGGTTTATTGTCGCCCCTTTACGCTGTTGCAACTCCCTCTCTCTCTCTCTCTCTCTCTCTCTCTCTCTCTCTCTCTTTCTCTTCTTTTTACTAACTTTTCGGGCTTTGCTTTAGCTGCGTTCTCTTTATGCTCCTTCAGTTAATCTGTTTTTTCCTACCTTTCCCCTCGATCATGTTTACTAACATCATTTCGCTTTCTCCCTTGCGAACATAATTTCTCTTCCTTTCACACACACTTATTCCCTGTCTGACGTTCCTTTTATTGTTATACATGCCGTTCTATCTATCTGTTTCGGATCTTTATTTCATTTCTGCTGCTCTTACTTCTTATGCGGCATCCGCAATCGTTTAACTGGCGCCCATGTGTGCCCATCTCTTATCGCTCTTTTCGTTTCTTCTTTGTGCGATATCCTTAAACGTTCTACTGACACATTGAATGCGAATATATGACGACGTTTATTTATGGCAGCTGTCTCTGCCTGTGACTCTGCAGCGAGATCAATTAATTTGTCAATTCTTCTCTTAATGCCTAATGTAGCTGTAGCAACAGGCAGCTGTTTATTCTGCCTCTTAACTGATTACGCACTCACAACAGGCCACTCTAATAGTCTCAATTATAGAGTTATATACGCCATTTAGTACGTTTCTGGTTAGTCAAATAAATAGTAATGCCACAAATTGCTCATCTAATGGTCGATTTTAAGTGGAATGTCAAATAAAAACCACCCACAATCGAATCGGAAATTGAACAAAATTAACTTCCGTATTAGCCCATTGTTCGCATGTCACATGCAAAAACTAACAACGAAAACAACAAATCATTTTCATATATCTCATATTCGTATTCATATTCAAAGTTGGAAAAATCAATTGCGATTTCCATTGTAATTTTCCGCTTTGCTGCTGCTGTACTTAACTTTTCAGCTTGGGAAATGAATTCATTCAAAATTCGAGGTAACTTTATGTATATTCACTTAAAGAGAATCGCACAATCTAAACGCTTTCTGTTTCTCTCTTAACGTTAAATCACGTGCTTTTAAATGATTTTTTTTTTTTTTTTTTTTTTTTGTGGAGTTCGTGATAAGCGTCATCAATGGATCCGCGTATTATTCGCTGTTTAATATGCACTAAATTATCAAGTCAGGTTCAAGAAATTAGCTAATCATCGATTCATTAACAATTTAAATTATTAACGAAATAAATGCTGAGTTTTATTCTAAATAAACTGCGTGCTATTGTTGCAATTGTGATCAAAAATATAGATCACGTATATCAACTGGTTTTTCTCCCCCGCTAACTGGATGTTGGCATAAAAAATTGTCGATTCAACATTGTAAATTAAAATGCGATTTGCTTTTTATAATATATACATAGCATATGAATGCAATATTATATGGGCAAGGCCATAGATAATAGCTGGACAGCCAGTTGAGCATCTTTCCATTTCATATTCTATTGTATACCCATTAAATTGTGCTTGCGGCGGGCTGGTTCAGACACAAATCAAATCGGTTTGGAAATTAACCCTAAAACAATTTATCTTGTTTATGCAAATACTGAAAGGAATCTAAACTCTCAACTGATTCTACTTTGAATATTATTCTTGTGTTAAATATATCTCTTAGCTTACCTTATGAGAGCTTATCCTGTCTCTATTTCAAATAGATTTTCTAGGGATGCCTTTCGATCATTTGATAATCCACTTCACACTTGATCTAAGACAATATTGATTCCTTGAGATGGTTTTGTTCTATGAAATAAAAGAAAATATATATTAGTTACTTTTTTTTTTTTATTGAGTATGTATTAGAAAGATGGAGATATCATAATCTATATATATGCTTGATTAGCATCGACAGACATGACTATCCATCAACAAGTCTCGAGAACTTCAGCAGCCAGAGTTATGAAATTCATCTAAGCATATTCTATACGCTTCTCTCTGTATATATATAAATATATATATTATTGATCTGACAGCTGTGCCCATGTAAACGAATCCAGCCAGCCTAAAAGCTATATGGATGAGACTCGGCACATATCCGTCTCCAGTTGCAGGCATTACAGATGTCGTATCGGATCATTATATCATTAAGCAGCTGCTATTGGAACTATCGGCGTTTTGTTTATGACGATATATTATCGAAGCTTGGCAAATTAGAGCCTTACATTGTCATCGAGTTGCTGTATCATATGGCCTGATTGGAGCAGACTTTGTAGAGTATTCAATACTCGTCTGGGTAAAGTTAGTTAGGGTATTGCTTATGCAACGCCCGATGAATGCATTTGACACAGTTGAGTTGAGTCACTTGACAGTTTGAACAGTTTCAGAGTCATTATCAAAATCATATGTGTATAAGTATAAACAGATTAATGTAAAAACCTAATGAGCACGAGATGCAAGCTGAACTATGAGAGGCAGGCAGAGAGGCCAGTGAGAGGCATCCAGTTATAGCCCTGACATTGTGACTCAACTTGTGTTTTTGGCAACAATAACAAGCGCCTGTCCAACTGTTATCGTTCGGCGTGTGTGTGTGTGTATAGCTTATCGCTATGATTAATGGGTTGGGAAACAGCGAGCAGCACGAGCAGATTAAACATTTCATAATATAGGTCAGTTATGGGGCTGAAAGAAAGAGCTATTTGTCAGGCAGGGGAACTGGATCTATGACCAATCCATCAAACAAGGTTGCATTGTTCCATTTCGCAATATTTTCCACGTTAAAGATAATGAAATAAACGAGAAAGTAAGGATATCTTCCGCAAGCCGAAGATTCAATACCCTTGTACATATTTGCCATACATTTGGCCATATAGAAACTCATTTTTTACTCGATTCTTGCCAGAGATCTATATAATACGGTGATGCGAATTTGATAAGTTTTAGCTCATGAATAGTTGAACTAGTTAATGCTGAGTTTGGCTGACTTTTCGACCGATGGTACTGTCAGACCTAAGTTTCAAGATGATAGCCTTAAAACTGAGAGATGGATGCTGATCTGGAATATATATGTATACTTTATGGGATCGAAGAAGTCTCCGCTTGCGCTTGCACATATCACTAGCCAATTGCAACACTCTTTGCAAAGGTATTTTAAAGATAGAACACACCTCGAAATTGTGATCGGACAATAAGCACCGATTATAATAAAAAAGGCATTTGATATTTGTGTGCGGCTAAGGGAAACAGTTCTTAAAGGCAGCATATCGCTGTGTTCGACTAGAGAGCTCTACAACCTATCTTTCCAGCTTTTTAATGCAAACTTCTCTCTCTTTCTCTCTCTCTTTCTAATTAACAGGTGGCCAATGGCGCCGACTTGGTGATCAGCGTGCCGAATGCGAGCAGCAATGACAATGCCTTCTATCGGATCGACTACAGTCCGCCGTTTGGTTATCCGGAACCGAATACGACAATACCGGCTAGTGAGATTGGGCAGGATATTAAATTATCTCGCGTGCTGCCCGGCAGCGAGTACAATTTCTGGTTGTACTACACAAATTCGACGCATCGTGAGCTGCTCACCTGGACGGTGAACATAACCACAGGTGGGTTTTGGGCTCAGCTCAAAAAAAGTGAAATGAATGGGCAACTATAAATTGGAATTGTTTATCGCAGCACCCGATCCGCCGGACAATCTCAGCGTACAGCTGCGGTCCAGCAAGAGCGCATTCATCACCTGGAAACCGCCGAGTACGGGCAAATATTCGGGCTTTAAGATCAAAGTCTTGGGCCTGACAGAACCGGCGCATAGCGAATATAATCGCAGCTTTATGCTGGCCGGCAATGATACCCTACAGCTGTCCGCCAAGGAGCTAACACCGGGCGGCACCTATCAGGTGCAGGCATATACCACCTACCAGGGCAAGGAGTCGGTCGCCTATACGAGTCGCAATTTCACCACAAGTAAGTCCCGGCCCGCGGGCACACGCACTTCCAGCGGTCGCTGCAATTACTAAAAACACCAAACACACAACAAGTTGTCCAACAAAATAAATTAATTAATAAACCCCTCTCAATCTGTGCGGCTGAGAGGGGGCAAGAGTTCTTAGCCTATGTATCTAATTGGTTGTGGTGCTTAGTATTAACAAAACAACTCTTTCTCCGCCAAATTCTCTTCTTGCTCTCCAACGCACTGTTGTCTCGCAGCCTTGAGCAATGGATCCAGGCGAAGGTAACCTTAAGTAACTGCCCAATTTGTTGTCTTCTTGTCGCTTGTAGTTTATTGCTAATAAATACGTATACGACTATTTTAATGCTATTTAAGTGATCCCGACGCTGGCACAGTGCTTTCCAAGTCAAATATCAATCAAATACATTTAATTTTAGTTTGAGTACTTTTTTAGATGCCCGTCAGTTTTAAGCTAGATGCACTTATCCTCTTGACATTCCAGCTTATTTCATGATAAGCTCCACTTCTAGTTAGCTTATTAAAAACTTGTTTATGATATTATGACTTTGTCATAGAAGGTGACATTCCCGACACCATAAAGTAAATATATATATATTCTTGTATAACAATATAAAGCTAATCGAACCGAAGTCTATGTTGGTTACTTTTTACCATAAAGATTGTGCCCCGGCAGATTGTCTGTCTAGCTTTAACTTGTTGAGAATTGTAAGCGTTAAGCAATGAAATTTCAATTTGGTTCATTTTACTTGGGTAACACTGTGCCTTAGCGTGCTGCGTCTTTATTATGTTGTGTGTGTTTAGTATAAGCCACACACACACACACCTACTCACACACATACACCTACACACACACACCTACTCACACACACACACCTGCACACACATACATATGCACACCGTATCCAACTCCGTACCGTTAGCTGTCCATTGTAGTAAAACATTATTGTAACCCCTCCCAAAAAAAAAAATCCACATTCCATCCATATTCCATCCAGAGCCCAATACGCCCGGCAAGTTCATCGTTTGGTTCCGCAACGAGACCACGCTCCTGGTGCTGTGGCAGCCGCCGTATCCGGCTGGCCTTTACACCCACTACAAGGTCTCCATAACGCCGGACGATGCCATCGAGAGTGTGCTGTATGTGGAGCGCGAAGGCGAGCCGCCCGGACCCGCCCAGGCCGCGTTCAAGGGCCTCGTGCCCGGCCGCGCCTATAACATATCGGTGCAGACCGTCTCCGAGAATGAGACATCGGTGCCGACAACTGCACGCTACCTGACCGTGCCGGAGCGTCCGCTGAACGTCAGCTTCGATCCGCGCTACACGACGACCAGCTCGTTCCGGGTGCGCTGGGAGCCGCCGCGCACCTACAGCGAGTACGATAGCTTTCAGATCTCCATATCGACGACACGGCGTGTGTTCACCGTGCCGCGCACCGAGGCAAGCAGCGTTTACTTTGACTATCCCAAGATTCTGGAGCCCGGCAAAAGCTACGATGTGGTGGTCAAGACCATTTCGGATAATGTCAACTCGTGGCCGGCTAGCGCAGAGATAACGCTGCGTCCACGTCCGGTGAGAAGCTTGCGTGGCTATCTCGACGATCGCAGCAATACGGTCCATCTGTCCTGGGAGCCAGCTGAGACGGGCAAACAGGATAGCTATCGCATTAGGTAAGTGTCGAAAGGCTGCAGCGTCTCGCATCAATCCAGACTAAATAAGCTTCCCATCTGTTCAGCTACTACGAGAAGCTAAATGATACGGATGCCGCCACGACAACATCTCAGACGCTGGAGACGCCGCAAACGGAGTACCAACTGGCGCAGCTGCTGCCGGGCAGACGTTACCACATCGAGGTGCAGGCCCTGTCTAATGGCATCAGCTCCAATGCGAGCAGCCTGACGCGCGACACCCGACCCGCCGCGCCCATCATCCAGGAGCTGCGCAGCATAGCGCAGGGCCTGAACATCAGCTGGCGCAGCGATGTCAACTCGCAGCAGGATCGCTACGAGGTGCACTACCAGCGCAACGGCACCAACGAGGAGCGCACCATCAGCACCAATCGCACCAATTTGGTCATCAAGTATCTGCATCCCGGCTCCGGCTACGAGATCAAGGTCTATGCGATCAGTCATGATATGCGCAGCGAGCCGCATGCCTACTTTCAGGCAGTCTGTAAGTGTGGACACAACTGTATCCCAATGAGCGTGATTCATTTGCTGAACGAATCATTCAGTTGCGAGTCATTTGTCGGAAAGTTATTGAATCGAATTACAAGTGGATTGTACAGGGATTCATGAATTAGAAGGAATTGATTGCATTGCAATTCGAATTTTATATTCGAAGCAGAATTACAAGAAGTCGTTCGCTTGGTCAATCAGTTAATCAATATTAAAATGAATTAAATTATAATTTTGATTAATTTTGGAATTAATTCGGAAGTCGAATGCATTTTCCAAGAACACGTTCGCTCGACCAATCGAATTAAATCAATTTATTGAATTGTAATTCTAGTTAACTTTTTGAATGCATTTTTTGCAAGAATTCATTCGCTCGACGCGATCATGTAAAAAAGCAAGCAATACCCTATCAACAACGTAATCTATATCTGCAAGGGTATTCAATCTTCGTCGTATTCATTCATTCATTCCTCTGTTTCATTTCCTACATTCAGTCAGGTTTCAGTCAAATGAAGAGGTGTTCATATTTGGCCCATTCATAGCATAGTATGAATGCAAGTGAATCACACTCATTTATGGCGCTTTCTTTTATTGTGAATCCATCGTCAATTTTGATCTTTCTGCATTTTGCAGTTCCCAAGCCACCTCGCAATCTCACGCAGCGCACGGTGAACACGAATCTGGTGCTGCTCAACTGGCTGCCGCCGGAGGGCAGCGATTACAGTGAATACGCCGTGCGTTATCGGACCGCAGCCACCACCTGGCAGCGTTTGCCCAATGTGCACGAGCCGCAGGCACGAATCGAGGACATGCATTACGGCGAGCGCTATCTGGTGCAGGTGAACACGCTGAGCTTTGGCGTTGAGAGTACCGCGCCGCTGGAGCTGAACATTACGATGCCGCCGCAGCCCGTCTCGAATGTGGTGCCGCTGGTGGATTCGCGCAACCTTACGCTGGAATGGCCGCGTCCGGATGGCCATGTCGACTACTATACGATCAAATGGTGGGCCACGGACGAGCCGCAGTTGGTGGAGTACAAGAACGTGACCCAGCTGAGCGAGCAGGAGCGTGAGTATTTTTCGCTTGTCAAATAAAAATTGATTAGCCCCACTAAAACTCAATTTCTTGGCCCGCACAGTCAGCTCGACCAGCGTGCGCATACCCATTGAGGATTTGGCGCCGGGTCGTCAATACAAATTCGAAGTGCAGGCCAGCTCGAATGGCATACGGTCGGGCATAACGCATCTCTCGACGCGAACAATGCCGCTCATTCAATCGGATGTGTTCATATCGAATGCCCACGAGCAGCAGCAGCAGCAGCAGGAGAAGGGGCAGGATCTGCAGCCGGAGGAGGAGGGCGAGTCCAGCGATAGCATCACTTTGAACTACACGCCCACGCCCGCGTCCAGCACACGCTTCGACATCTATCGCTTTTCTCTGGGCGATCCTTTAATCAAGGACAAGGAAAAGCTGGCAAACGATACGGAACGTAAGCTTAGCTTTACGGGCCTCACGCCCGGCCGTCTCTACAACATAACCGTTTGGACTGTCAGCGGGGGCGTGGCCAGTCTGCCCATACAGCGTCTGTATCGGCTGCATCCGCTGCCCATTGCAAATCTGCAGGCCACACAGCTGGAAGCCAGAGAGATTACGCTGCGCTGGACAGCGCCCGCCGGCGAATACACAGACTTTGAGCTGCAGTATCTGAGCGCGGACGCGGACTCGCCGCAGCTGCTGCAGAATCTAACGACGCAGACACAGTTGACGCTGCAGCGACTGCAGCCATATCACAATTACACCTTCACCGTTTCGGTGCGTGCCGGCAGCGAGCTGGGCAGCGCCATGATGCGCACGAGTGCGCCCATCTCGGCCAGCTATCAGACACTGCCGGCGCCACCGGGCCGGGTCGAGTACTTCCAGCCGAGCGATGTGCAGCCGGGCGAAATCAGTTTCGAGTGGCTGCTGGCCGTTCAGGAGCAGCACGGACCCATTGCCCACTATCGCATCAGCTGTCAGAATGTGGATGACGCTGCCGATACGAGCAGCTATGAGCTGCCCGCGAATGCGACCCAGGCGCGCATCGAACACCTGGTGCCGGGCAACAGCTACATCTTTCGCATTCAGGCTAAATCGGCGCTCGGCTACGGCTACGGCGTAGAGCGTGAGCATCGCCAACTGATGCCCATATTGGCGCCACCGGCGCCAGCACCACACATTATGCCCGTCGAGATGGGGCACAGCAGCACGACCATACAGATACGCTTCCGTCAGAGCTATTTCTCGAATGCGCACGGCCTGGTGCGCTGGTATACGATCATTGTGGCCGAGGATGTTGGCAAGAATGCCTCCGGCCTGGAAATGCCCAGCTGGCAGGATGTGCAGGCGTACACCGTATGGCTGCCCTATCAGGCCATCGAGCCGTACAATCCGTTTGCCAATCTCAGCCTGAGAAGTGCTGGCTTTGAGGATTTCACCATTGGCAGCGCCGGCTGCGAGAAGCATCGCACCGGCTACTGCAATGGCCCGCTCAAATCGGCGACCACGTATCGCATCAAGGTGCGCGCCTTTACGGACGAGGACAAGTTTACGGATACGGTGTACAGTGAACCGATTACCACGGATCGCGACGATGTCCTCTGGCTGGCCAGCACACTGGCCATTGCCGTCTTCGTGCTCTGCCTGTTGACGGCATTGGGCTATTATCGCTATCGCTGCCATAGCATGCGGCGCACCGCCAACAAGCTGGCCCGCATGCCCGACGAGCTGACGGCTTTGCCAGAGGGCTATATAGCGCCGAATAGGCCCATTCATGTCAAGGATTTTGCGGAACACTATCGCCTCATGTCCGCCGATTCGGACTTTCGATTCAGCGAGGAGTTTGAGGAGCTAAAGCATGTGGGCCGCGATCAAGCATGCAGCTTCGCCGATTTACCCTGCAATCGGCCCAAGAATCGATTCACTAACATTTTGCCGTATGATCATTCACGATTCAAGCTACAGCCCGTCGACGATGACGACGGCTCCGATTATATTAATGCCAATTATATGCCGGGCCATAATTCGCCGCGCGAGTTCATCGTCACGCAGGGACCGCTGCATTCAACGCGGGAGGAGTTCTGGCGCATGTGCTGGGAGAGCAACTCCCGGGCGATTGTCATGCTGACGCGCTGCTTTGAGAAGGGGCGCGAGAAGTGCGATCAGTACTGGCCCATCGATCGTGTGCCCATCTTCTATGGGGACATTAAAGTGCAGCTTATTACCGATACGCACTTCCTCGACTGGTCCATAGCCGAGTTTATGGTCTCCAGGGTAAGTGGCAGGGAGAAGCGTTCAAATCCAAGAAGTAATACGATTTTATCCTCACTGAATATTTTTAATTTTAAACGCTACAATTTGTTAGTTGAAAGTTTCGTGTAGCAAAAAGAAGCTATGTGAAGCGAGAAGCGTTTAGAGAAGCGATAAATTGTGAGAAAAGCTGAATGCAGAAAGAAGCCATTTGAGAATCAATGCGAAGCTAGAAGAGTTTAGAGGAGTTATAAAGATGCATATTCCCATATTAAATGCTTACAGAGAAAACCGAAGAGAGAAGAAGAGTGAGAAGCGATGGAAGAAACGTTTGAAAGAGGCCCCTTGTAAATCATTTCTGATCCTTATTTTTACAAATTTTTACTAGGTAGTTTTGTTACCTTCACGATAAGTATCATGGAGCAGCAATGCAATGCGAGAAGATTTTAAAAAACGATAAATATCACTTACCATTAAAACTTTCCATAAGCCGACAAGAAAATCCAAAGAGAGTTAAAAATCCAAAGCGAGAAGCCTGAAAAGATAAAAAATAAAGACAAAGCTTTAATATATGTTCGGAAGGAAGCAAAGGCAGAACCAAAGAAAGAAAACAGGCAGTAAAAGTGTCGATTAGATTAGTTATATAAACTGCAAGTCCGTTAGTTTTAGCTAAGATAAGCGCATTAGACCAACAAAGAAAGTTAACAGCTTAATTTCCTTTATTGTACTTTTTAAACTTCTTAATTAAAGTGAGAGAGTTTGTCAGCTAAAGTCAAGGGAGAAGCAATGAGAGAAGCGAAGTCAGCTTTCAGTCAAAGAAAGCTAATAAAGCTTTTTGTAACTTTTAGGGATAGCCTCAACTTTTGCTTTATTTCATATAGCTTCTCGCTTGGCTTCTCTCTGCATTTTACTTCTGTTTCACTCTAAACGCTTCTCTCTTCGCTTTCATATAGAATTGCATCTAATTTTACTCATATTTTTCCCCATTCTCTCTAGAATTGTGAATCGCGTATTATGCGGCACTTTCACTTTACTACCTGGCCGGACTTTGGTGTGCCGGAGCCGCCTCAATCTTTGGTGCGATTTGTGCGCGCCTTCCGTGACGTCATCGGCACCGATATGCGACCCATTATCGTCCACTGTAGCGCCGGAGTGGGCAGATCGGGCACATTCATAGCACTGGATCGAATATTGCAGCACATCAACAAGTCTGACTATGTGGATATCTTTGGCATTGTGTTTGCCATGCGCAAGGGTATATATCTACCTGAATGTTTACATATATATTAAGCTGTTTGTCCCGACTGATCGACTGACTGACTGACTGTTGATTCACGGAAACAACAAGAGCTTGTGTGTTGTTAGCGCGAAGTTTCGTTATGTCGGTTGTAAAGGGTATTATTATTTTGTATAAAGTAGATATATAATCTGGATGAGTATGAACTAGAAGAAAGACATTTCTTCTTCTCATTTCCATCCATCCTAGCAGATTATTTGGGGATCAAGCACGACTAATGCCCGCTAGAAGACACACCTGTGCACACATATATGTATATATATATTTATTTATTTTGAGCTACTCTAATGCTTCTCGCTTTTCCTCTGGCAGAGCGCGTCTTCATGGTGCAAACGGAGCAGCAATATGTGTGCATACATCAGTGCCTGCTGGCTGTGCTGGAGGGCAAGGAGCATCTGCTTGCCGATTCGCATGAGCTGCACGAGAACGATGGCTATGAGGGTAAGTTGATGCAATCCAGTCTCTTTGCCATGCCCCAAACACGCCCAACAAAAAAGAAAATAAACGCCCCTCGCGTGTCGGACCACGTTCTATGCTCTCTTTCAAAGTTTCAAAGTTGTCGTTTGGTTTGGTGAACGTCGCTGCGGCTGCTAATTTTAATCTCTAACTACCATTGACTAATGCTCTGTACTAAAGCCCCATGCTAAGCTATATATGTGTATATATGTAGTATATATATATATAGACAACAACAACAACAACAAGAACACACACAACTTTTGGGTTTGCAGCTGTTTTTTTTTTTAAATGTTTTCTTTTTTTTATTTGTGACTAACCAAACAAATTTGTTATAATTTAATGAATTTCTTCTTTCTCTTCACACAAACAAACAAACACACACGCGCACACATTGTATATCAAACACACACACACACACCTGTCTAACAACCCACACACACACACACACACACACACATACACTGCTCTCAACTGCTGCCTTCACAAAATTGTTTGCAACTCACGAATTCAGTGACTAAAATTTACTTAGAGCGCCCCAAGCCACAGCCGCTGCAGGCCGCCGCCGCCGCCGCCGCTGGCAGCAGCCCGTTGCATGCAACGCCGCTGCGTGCCTCGCTGGCCCTCGCCGAGGAGCTGGACAGGGAGCTGGAACTGGAACTGGAGCAGCAGCATCAGCAGCAGCAGCTGGATGAAGATGATGAAGATGAAGACGATGATCAGCAGCCTTTGAACAATGAGACAACAGCTACGCTGTCCACGGCCAGCAGCAGCAGCAGCAGCAGCAACAGCAGCAGCAACAGCAGCTTAGGCAGCAAGAGTCAGCAGCAGCAACAACAACAACAACTACAACATTGTGTACAGCAGACAGCAGCAACAACAACAACAACAACAACAACAACAACAACAAACATTTGCACTAGCACTCAATCAGACACAGACACTGAGGATGAGGATGGTGATGGTATTGATAAGAGTCCGCTTTTAGGTTTGTACCATAAACAACAACAACAACAACAACAACAAAGTGCACCCCCTCCACCCACAAATGGCTACAAGCGCATATACCACCTCCCCCCTTTTTTTGTAGTGTATTCAAAGTAGTTTGTCAAAATTAAAAAAGAAAAGAAATCGCACAATATCTAACACTTGTTGTATATAAACACACACACTTACACTTGCTAACTTGTTACTTGTAGTGTAGTGTAGTGTTATTAAAAAGCCTAACTAATACACACGCACACACAGACACAATACACACGCTAACAACTAACGCCTGGGCATGTTGAAAATAATATATATATATATATATATATTTATATTTTTTGTGTAGCATAAATTTGTTTACAAAAAATCGATAGAAATTTATTTAAAAAATTGTGTAAATAAAACTATTAAATATTTTTATTTAAATTTATTTTCACACAGATGACGAAGGTATTGCCGAGACAGGCATATGAGAGAGAGAGACAGAGAGAGAGAGAGAGAGAGGGAGAGTGAGAGTGAGAGTGAGAGGCAGTCAAAACCAGAGAGAGTGAGCTGAAGATATATGAAGACTTGCTGCGGATATTTATGCATATATATATATTTATATATACATATATACAAAATACATAATTATAAGCCTAGTATAAGCACATATATATTATATATACACACATCGTATATGTATAGCTATATATATATAGTTAATATAACAAACAACAAAAACAAAAAAACACGAAAAAAATTCTGCCTGTGATGTGCTGGATGTGATTTGTCTAGAATTTTGGCAGAAGCGTTAACAAACCCACAACAACAAACAACAAAACAACAAGAGCCTGCTGAGTCGAGGCTGGGCTAGAAAAAGAGAGCGAGATACAGATGAAAGAGAGAGTATTCTCTCGTTTGCCATACGCGCCTCCAGCCAAGTTAATGCCGCCAATTAGACCAAAACAACAGAGCGTTTAATCTTAAGTTTCAGGTATAATTAGCTATTCTTTAATACTTTTAAAAACAAAAACACAATACAATACTTCGATTTTTGTATGCGACTATTATTGTAAGCTTAAAGAACAATATATGCTCCTATATATGTATAGATACTAATATGTTTTATACCATATGTTATACCATGAGCTAGTATTTAAAAAAAAAAAAAAAAAACAAAAACTATTTTGTAAATTTTGTGTGCCTGTATATGTATTTGTATTATCTTAGCTCTATATACACATAAACTTTTGTATTAACTATTTAAAGTTCATTTCGAGTTGTATTTTACTTGTTTTTTTTTTTTTTTTAATTTTTAGTTTTGCTTTTGTATTTTAGTTAAAATATACATATAAATATTTAAATTGACTAGTTGTGCATTTTGTTGTTGCTGTTTTTCTCGTTAATGTCGCGTTGTGCTCAATCAGTCAATCAATCAATCAATCAATCTGTGCTTTTTGTATGTATCGATGCTCATTTTAAAGAGTGTGCAATAAATTATATATATAGACATATATCACAATCGTATTAACTGAGCAACAACAGCAACAAAATTGTCATTTTAATGTTGTATAGCATTTATTTTTTGCATTCAAAACAGAAAAGATGAACACAAAAACAAGAACAGAGTGCAGCACAAGCCGAAAACAATAAAAAATGCTATCGAGAAATGTATATTGTTGATCATTTTACTTTTACTTTTCACAGCAGAATCGAAAATTTACAAAAAAAAACCGCACAGGCAGCAAAAGTTGATTAATTTAGCCGGACAACACGCAAATAGATCAGACGAACGATTGAAGAATCATCAGAAATGTCCTTTCCAGATTCTTAGTAATCGTATAATCATGTAGAAAAGCTTTTCTACATTTTGGTTTCTACAGTCTTCAAACTGCCTTAGATTCTTTTCTCTTTTATAAAATGCATACTCTCATATATTATACGCAAAACAAGACATTTGTTTCGATATCCTCGATAATTATCGATTTTAAGACATAAAGGAAACTAATGGTTTATTGAAAATGTAACAGAGGCATTATCCCCCCATAGTCATTCATTTGAAGACAACATGTTTTGAAGCATAACTCCAAGACCATATAAGCTAGATACATCAAACTTAACATGTATGTCGGTTCAGCTGTAGGCTTCACTCATAAAGAACGCTGCGCAATTTGGATATTACATCCATTCCAACCAAAAATAAGCTAAGCTGGATAGAAGAAGGTTTGTTGCTGGAAACAGGCAGTCGGGTTAGGATCGGGTTTGCTTAAAACAGGTTAACAGCCAGTTCTAAAACTGCAAACGAGATAAAGATTTAGTTAAGCCTGATTTGAATGTGTAGTTGCATGTGCGTACTTTTAGAATTGTTTTCTCTGGTACTGAAAGTTAAAATAGGGCTAGCTGCATATATCCAAGGAATGAAAGGTGTTTTATAATATTAAACGGCCGCCGAAAAGTATGCAGCATTAAAAGATTGTGTTGCCATAAAAGGCCGCATAATTAGCATGGCGGCGCCACTGAGCAGGCAACATTTGGTTTTGGAATTGTTCTAAATAATATGTGCGCTAATTGCGAGCATTTATCGATAGGCAATTATCGATACGCGCACATTTTTAAAGGCAAAATCGGGCTGAGCCGCGGTTCCTGTTGCTGTCGCTGTCGTTGTTGCCGGCGAGTCGGGGCAAACATTTGAGAAATCTTAATAAGCTGGACAAACCAAATAGAGGAGAAATAATCTAGGCAATTATAAGGCCGCAAACTGATACCACAAACAGGCCATGAGTCGCGACTACTTGTTGCAAGTTCCAAAGAAAAATATGTTGTCGTTGTGTGCGTGTCTGCGTGCTGCGCGCGCGCGTGTGTGTGTGTGTGTGTGTGTGTGTGTGTGTGTGTGTGTGTGTGTGTGTGTGTGTGTGTCGGCATTCGCTTAAACAAATAAAGCTTGGAACTAATTGCATTTGCACTTGTTGTGCGATATTTCTATGTTGGAAATTATATGGACACGAGTGCTGCAGGCCCAGACGAGTCACGAATGCCAAATTGACTTTAGTTGTGTATACCCTGTAACTAATTCAAAGGGGTAATATAGCCCATTCGAACAGATTAGAAGAAGAGATGCTAGACTCGTTTGGCTATGTACCCTCTATATAACTCATTGAACAACTGTATACCCTATCTAGATATAGTTTTCTTAAGATAATAAAGAAAGTAGTTATTCCAGCTACTTATACTTAGGTATATAGGTGTTCATGTGTGTGAGAGTAAATGTATTTTAGGCTCCAATTTCAAACCCAAAAACTATAAATACACCTCTAAGACCCATTGACCTTGGAGAAGCGAAAAACCTGCGTTATAAACAATATTTCTCTTGTTTTCTTGAGCCTTAACTAATTGCTTAAAGGCACTAAGTAGCGCCACTTTTAAGATACATCCTTGGATTGTTGGCAGGCGCCTTCTACTATAGCAGGATTGCATCACAACAAGTTGATAGAAAAAGTGCCTTATCAAATGCTGCCTATACTGGGTATACTCTAGTCAAGCAGAGCCAGCTAATGCATTCGAAACTTGTTGCCATTTTTTGAGATGAGACACGTCATTTGTCATTTATCTGCGGCCTTTTAGCGTTTGGCTTAATTGACTTCTTCTACAGCGTCTACGAACAGAAATTGCTGTGCCCATAGAATGGAATAGAATAGAACTTTGAAGTCGGCCAGGCATCATCTTTTTAAGCAGCCATGTGTTATGGCCAATACCAATTGGCCATAGCGCGGAACATTTAGCTTCATTACGTCAAACCATTTCAAGTCTTAACCATGGAGCGAAGCTCGCTGTTCGCGTTCGAGTTCGCGTTCGCTCTTCTGGCACTGCAGAACCGTTTTAATTAGATGTAACCATAATAAATCAACAACAATCTTTGTCTGTGGGTATACATATATATATCATCTGTGTGTGTGTGTGTGTGTGTGCGTGTGTGTGTGGAGCGTGAGCCCAGGACACTTTTTTTGTTCCCATAAGCCACAAGACAAATGACGAGTCCAAGACCAAACCAACAACAACAACAACAACAATCTTGGAGATTCTCTGCAGTTGTTGTTGCCTTCGGTGGATAATGCCGGCTGAACAACAGCTGAGCAACTGTTGAGCAAATGAGCACCTGACATGCGAGACGCCACTTTGGCAAAAATCTTTACAAACTCATGAGTGCGGAGCCAATCCTGAACACAGTTAGCTGGGCAATGTTGGGGAAACACTTAAGAATTAAATTGGGAAATATTAAGTCATTAGACTCCAAGAGAGTTCCTCACATCAGACAATCGTTTTTTTGCGAGAATCAAGCTGTTAAGAACGTTTAAGGATGACGCACAAAGAGTAATTGAAAAATTGAATGCTCTCCAGACAGACGGTTAGACAGAGAGACGTATGAACTGGACAAGTTGTCAGAGAAAGAAAGAGCAAATTATAAGTTCATATCAATGTATAAAAGACGACGCAAGAACAAGTGAATTTTAAAAAGAAAGGAGAGAGAGAGAGGGAGAAAAGAGAAAAATATAAAGATAAAGACACAGTGGACATGGAGGCAGACAAAAGAGATAGAGAGAGATAAAGACAGACGGAAATGGTTGAAGGAAAAAATACAGAGAAATAAAGTATTAAAGAAGAGCTATAGATAGTGGTGAGATGGAGAAGGAAAGAAACGAAGGCAGAGAAATAAAGAGGCATAAGAAAGTTCGGGAGTAAGAAACAGATATAGGAAAGTTAAAAGAGTTAGTAAGAGTGAGAGGAGAGAAAGACAGAGAGAGCGAAAGAGAAAAAGAGGGAGTGAGATACAAATAGAGAGGCAGTGAGAAACAGGGAAACAATGAAACAGTAAGAAAACTAAAATGTAAGAGAAGCAAATGAATGATACTGATTCAACCTATAGAGCTAAGTAAATGATATAGTGGTTTGATATTTAAAGTAGCTTAAATGTTATTATAGAAGCAGGACAGAGAGATCGTATTCAATTGCCAAGATTTGCGAATGCGCATTTGCAATTCGTTGCCGCTTGCTCTGGCAAATGATGCACAGTTTTTGCGGTTCCAATAGATTTATAAATATATCTTTATGCATTTAGTAGTTATGTCTTAGCTTTAGGGCATCAGTCAGGCAGTTAGTTAGGCAGGAGCATCTAATCGCGTGCAATTGCAATTTGATTTGGTGGCATCTAATGACACAGATTATGCAGCGATATAAGCCAATGATATGGAGCAGCCAGCTCTTTGGGCTAGTTGGCCAAAATGCTGCCGCTTTTGTTCTTGTTGTTGCTGCTGTTTTTTTTTTTTTTTTGTTTTGGCTTTAAGCTGAGTTTAACCCACATTCGTGGCGCGTTGCTAGCTACCATTTGACAAACGCCTGAGCGCAATGCAAATTGCAGTCAGCCCCCCTCCCTGCTGTCGCCCTCTCTCCCTCTCGCCCTCTCACTCTCTCTGTATGTACCTCTCGCTATATCTCTCTCTTTCAGAGCGCTGTCTGCAATGTGCGCAGCGCATGCAATTTTCTTGAAACCCTACAACATTACACTTGGACTTGAACTTGCGAATTTGCTAGACGACGAATCAAGCCAACACCAACATGCAGCAGCAGCAGAAGCAGCAACATGCAGCAGCGGCAGCAACACCACCAACGCCAGCAGCAATCAGCGGCAAGTGAATGAGCTTAAATTGTCCATGGCTGGCAGAGCGTGCGTTGGTGAGGGGGGTGTCTGCGGTGTGTGTTGCCGTGTTGCAGCTGCATAAGCCGCACAGCTTAGACGTTGGCTGGCCGACTGCCTGCCCGGCTGGCTGGCTGCTTACCTGACTTGCCAGATTGTTGCATGTTGTTGCCTGAACGCCCTCAGTACGTTATTATGCGGCTGTTATTGTTGCAACTAGTTGTTGTTACTATTGTTGTTGTTGTTGTTGTCTGGTCGCTCGTCTGTGGAGCATCAAGGCACTGGGGCAGCGAGGCATCAAGTTCGCAACGGGCGACAGCCAGCACGCATACCCAGCAATTGCTGGAGCTGGCAGGCGATAGGCGGCAGGCGGCAGGCGGGAAGCGGGTAGCGGCATGCGGATGAGGCTAAGTTAGAGACTAAGACGGATGCAGAGCAACCGCAGTTACTTTGGTTAGGCACACACACACACACACACACAAACACTCATACGAGTTGCTTAGACAAGCCTCAATTAAGTTGCAATTGCAGTTGCTGCTGCCTGTTGCTGCCTGCTGCCTGTTGCTGCCTGCTGCCTGTTGCTGCCTGCTGCCTGTTGCTGCTGTGCAGCGTTGGCGGCGTAGGAATTTTGCTCGTTGCTGCCCACGCGCGCTGCTGCCGCTGCTGTTGCTGATAAAGTCCAAAATGATGTACTACCTTCTGCTGGTGGTTTGTTGTTTGTGTCTTAGTTTTAAGCAGCAGCACACAACAGGAGCGCAGCGCGGGCACCTTAACGGGCCCCAAAAAGGCAACAATATGTAAGAGCCACAGTCGAAAGATACAAGTATGATAAAAATAGGCTATATAAGGTATATTAAAAGCGATCTCTTCTAACTAACACACTTAATGATTGAGGAACTGCAAGCGCTTGGTAGCTGCAACTTTTTAGGGTTGTCATCTCACACTCTTACACAAAACTTTATGGTTTAACATTTCAAGGATCTCTCTGAAAATACAGTTAAGAGGTGTTTCACACTTTTCGCAGAATCCACCCCGACTGAGCGGAAAATGCATCTCAATAATTTTTAGATAAAGTTTCAAGTATCAACTGGACTGCTTCAAATTTCTTTGAAGCGCAAGTGTGAAATAAGCAAGAAACTTTTTGTTTAGCATGCGATCTTAGTGTAAATTCATGAGAAATGTCCTTGTCAATTTTTGATGCCGAAAGTCTAATGGTGAAATATTTAACAGGCAGTTTAGCTGCAAGCTACATTTTGGCAGCCAGATGCATGTTATAGTTGAAGATATGCAAAGTAAAACAATTGCGAGACAATATGACAACATGGTGAGGCAGTTGTTAATGTTAACAGGAGCTTTTGATAAACTGGCTAAATGAACTTTAATAGACTGAGTTGTTAACTATTCGATTGATTTTTATTAACCAAATGTTATACCAAGTGTTATGTAAAGAATCTACCAATGGTTCCTATAGGTCGACCTGGTTTGAGATTGAGGATTGAAGACGATTGCTGGCTCTCAGACCAGTTTCATGCTCGATGCTGGAAAAGCGTCGTATCATCTCCTTGCGCAAATCACTTGCATATTCCTTTAGCTCCTCGATCTCAGAGTGGAATTCGCGCAGCTCGTAACGCAGCTGGCGGCTGGTTAGAAATGTATTACTGTACCTCATCGCCTTGGCCTTGTGGGCGCTGATGACGCGATTTGCCTCCGCTTTGGAGAGCTTTATCTCGATCAGCTGATTATAGCGCTGCTTGCAAACGGGCAGCTCCTCGGCGACAAGCCGGCTCCAATCCTGATACTGATGTGTTATGGAGCCCAGTTTGCGCACCCGTCGATTCTCCTGGCAGAGCTGATTGCGCATCTTGTTTAGCAGACCGCGCATTAGGCGATAATTGCAGATCAACTCGTCGATCTCGCATTGAAGCTGATGATGGGCATGCTGGAGATTGCGCACCTCCAGCTGTTCTTCACAGTTGAGCGGATCCTTTTGGGCATCGGGCAGCGGCAGCTCTTTATCCGCCAGCTTTTCCTGATCTGGGCTGGAATCCTTTTTGATCTTGGCTGACTTCACTCTGCACTGCTTAAATTCGAATACCCCGAGCTCCGGAATCGGTGTCGCCGATGTTTCCGGCTCCTGCTCGGTGGAGTAGTCCGAGATGTCCAGTTCCATTTGGGCCTCTTTGCGCTGCTTGATCACCAGCTGCATTTGCTCGATGCGTCGTATTAGGCAATCCAAATCTCCAACCAGCAGCATGGTGCGATCCTCGTCGTCGGTGCGATCCTCACTTAACAGCTGATCGAAGCTCAGCTCCTGCTCCTCCTCCTCGTCGTTGGCCGTGAAGCTGACCTCGTCGTCATAATGAAAGATCTCGATTTTGCGACAACGCACCCGATGGCTCAACAAATCCATATAATCGACGGGCACCTTGTCGCAGTCCCCCAGTCGCTCGATGATCTTATCCTCTGAATCCTCAACCGTTATTGTAGTCATTTTGTCTTTATTTTTAAATCTCGTTTTCTATATATGTATATATGTATCGCTAGTTTTGTGTGTTGTCTATGACTGAAATTTAAATTATGCTTGCTCTAGTGCTGAAAATATTGTGACAAGCCATTTCATATTGGGTTGCTTTGATGCCTTGCCTAAAGATTCTGTTTATTCCCTTTTCAACAAACGTACACAGCATATATATATTTTATTTCAGTTTATGCGTTGTTTGACGCTTGTAATTCCCAAGAAGTTCAAGCTTCGAAGAGGGGAACAATCTAGACAGACAATTCCCTAATTTGTTGATGGCCAACCTGGTTGTTTTTTGTTTATAATAGTTATATAAATAATAAGAAATATTCAGTTCGAGCTAGAAGGGCTTACAATTAGCATCAACAGCCATGTCAGAAGATTTGTATCAATTCAAATTCAAACAAGTCTCTCCGACCGTATCGGACCACTATATCACATAAATTCCATAGTCCATAGAAAGTTATGTTTTAGCAAAATGTTCGGACAATATTTTCGAAGCTATTTTCTTTGAACTCAGCAATTAGGAGTTTCCATATTCCACAATGCATAAAAGGTTATTAAATCTTATGATAACTTTATGATTTTCAATTTTTTACAGACAACAATTTGGTCAGTTGCGAAATGTAAGAGAGTAGCGTTTGAGTATATGCCTAATATATTTGCCCTACACATGCTGTCAGGTCCTTCCACCCGTAAATCCTATTTACTGGACGCAATTGTCGCAGCATTTTAGCCCCAATTTCCCCACCGAAACAGTTCAATTACCCGCTTAGCTCAGCTGAGTGCGCTCCTGTGCTGTGACTCGGGCTGATAAGAAAATTTATGGTTAGCCAGTTGCTGTGGCGGCATAATTGCGCACCCACATACACAAGCACATGCACATGCACATGCACATGCAGAGGTCGGGGGCCCGTGGGCTTTGGCGTGTGTCTCAGCTGGAGTGGATGGAGTCCATGTCTGCACGGGGCCTGTTGGTGCTGCTTCTGCCAGCTCTTTGCATATGCTCCAGCCGCCGAGCAGAGTCTGGCCACGTTTGGGCCAGTTGACTTTGTTTACCCGCAAGTTGTAATTTTCTGCGAAACCATCAGCAGCCGCAGAATTGCTTTCTGCTGCCGTCGCCGTCGCTGATAAGTCCCGCTTCTGATGCTGATGCTTCTCTGTCGCTTCTCGCTGCGTTCTTTCTTGCTTTCTGTTTTTTTTTTGTTTTTTGTTTTTTAACCATCCAGCGCAGGTATTTGTGGCATTGCAATTGGGCATCGGGCATCGGTTTGGCTGCGGTTTGAGATTTACTTTGCCTAGCTCTTGCTAATTGCTTTTCAAGATTTCGGGGCTAGGGCATACGACACGAGTGCCCGCCGTCTTGTACAATATAATGTGCTGCTACTCCTTGGGCCACCGTTTCCCGCCAGTGCTGTGCATCTGTTGACAGGCTTTTAAGTGCGCTGAGCGCGCTGTCACACTGTGGAATTTCGCGGGCCTCGACAAATCCAGTGCTAGACGGCCTGGCCACTTGACCAGCCAAATGGGGTCACTCGGCTGACTACCCCGCCCAAGGGAATGAGCTCTACTGTTGACTGACAACTGTCTTCACGTCACTTGCTGCACTTTCTCAATGCGGCGCTAAGAATTTTGGATGAGTTAATTAAGTTCGCAGTCTCGACATGCGTATGTACATATACACTTAGTTATTGAAAATGTGGCAGGATGAAATTATGGACTGTAGTCGGGGCGCAGGGACTTTCATTTATCCATTGTTGACCATACGTTAACAGATGGACAGAATAAATGCATTAAAAGAAGCTTTTGCTAGGTAAAGAGCACCTCTAATGCATAGTAACACTCCGGGAATTGTTACTATCACGAAAAAAGAACCTTTTTGAATATACATTCATACATACATACATACACATACATATAAACATTCATACATATATACATACATACATACATACATACATACATACATACATACATACATACATACATACATACATACATACATACATACATACATACATACACATACATACATACATACATACATACATACATACATACATCCATCCATACATACATACATACATATACACATACATATGTAAATATGTACATACATACATACATACATATGTACATATTTACATACAAAAAAAACACAAGCAACAAAAAAAACAAAATTAAAAAAAAAAAAACGACACTACTAGCTAAACATGGAAAATTGCGGAGCCTACTTGAATTATTGAGAATCGAGGAGTAGAGCACTAGGTGGAAGTTTTATTTAAATTTGCAGCAAAGCGACAAAAAAGCTTGGTCTGATTTTGGTATTACAAAAATTATCATGTATGCATACATATATTCATAAATACATACATACATGCATGCATACACCAACACACACACACGTCCACACACATAAACACAACATTATTTTTGGTCAATATTCATGTAAAAATGTATTGAGGTATTCTTAAAAAATCCAATGTAGACAGAGTTCAAGATTTCCCATCCCCCATAACTTGGCCAAATCTCATTCGATTTTCACAAAGTTTGGGTCTTTGTTCATGGTTTGTCCTCTAGATCAATTTGACATTAAAATCTGGCAAACAGTATGCCTGTCTTTAGGTTTTGTCTGATCTGCTTCAAACTTATTTTTTTAGCTCTACATAAGAACTTGCTAGTGAGCATATAAATATGCATCAAGGCTTCGATCTGATAAATTGTCGGCAACATGAAACACAAGTTTTTTATATAAAAATAAAATGTCACTGGCGCCAGAGCAGGGACCAATGACTAGCCTCTAATTTTCTCGAGTTGTCAATTGACAACTTAACTCAGGGAATATGCATTAAGGAGTTGATTAAGTAAGCCATAAGCACATAGCAAAGAAATTTGACAGGGGACGGGAATAGCCTCCCATTTTCTAGCAGATGGAATGGGCAGCTCATTGTGGGCTCTGATATGTGCAAACTCATAGTCCGGCAGAGTCGAGCTGTACTTTTGGGTTCTCACTAATCTGTTAAGAGCTTCTTTTTCAATTCCAGTTCGTGGGTAACTACTACCACAGGGGATAGATGAAAAAGCAAGAAGCTAGAACTGTACCGCTAAAGCGCCTAATCACATTATGAGCGTGGAACTGGGACCCCAACAGACCCCACCCAGAGTATCGTAGTATCGCATCGGAGCCAAGCTAGTGGTTCAACAGACGAGCTTGTGAACTCGCAGCTAGCTCTGGTCATGCAGGAAGTTCAAGTGCGAGAGAAATGCCCATGACATGTGCGATTGTGAGTTATGTACTGACTGACTGACTGACTCGGACTCGGTAAGTTCAACCTGAGCTGTGGGCAAATAGCAAAAACGAGTAGCAAAATGCAATATACATTAGATATACTTAGAACGAGGCTATAGAAAATTACGATTTATGTAACAAGTTGAAGAATCCGAGCGCATTTATTTCCGCATCTCCAGCCAAGCCAGCTGGCAGAAAGAAAAATATAGTTATATTTATATATATATATAAAAGAAAGAAGAGAAAAAATAAAACAGCTGAGATGGGAACGACTAGGTGCAGAAGGAGGGATTGTTGAATCGCTCGTAATAGTCGGTAAGTCAGTCAGTCATTCATTCAGACAGATTGACTTGAAGACGGGCAGACGCGATAGACAGTCGTCGAGTCAGTTATTAAATGTGACCATAAGAAACACAAACAGAAAAGCGTCCAGCGAAGATCGGAGCAAAAGTTATTACATAACTGGCAAAGACGTCAACGCCGACAGAGGATGGGTTCCAGTTGGGTGCGGGGCAAAAAATGGGAAGTCGGCTGGCTTGTAGACTTATAAAAATCATAGCACTCTGTGCAAAGCGTAAAAGCAAAGAATTATAATTTTCCAATCAACTGATAAATTTTTAATGATGCAACTTGTGACGATTACCAGAGAGAGAGATGCAGAGATGGAGAGAGATGGAGAGAGCCGAGGAAAATGTTGTACAAAGTGCATGCTGGAATTTTAGACGCTGGCTCATTGCATTCGCTGCGGCATCGGACATGTGTAAGAAACATTCCCATAGGTGTGATTGCTGGCGCGCAAGAACAAGTAAAACACCAAATTACTGTTACTGGGCAGCAGTAAATGGCGGGACACGGGACACGGGACACGGGCGGGTTTTTGTCTAATGCACTCGACTGCTGGCCATTGGCCGGGACTCTCGTTGCGGACCACAGAGTCGCCGTGATCGATGATGAGCTGATGATGCGGTTGACTGGCCACAGAGTGCAGCCATCGAACAACCTCCGATGCTGACACTGACGCTGATGTCGACTCTACCGTCCGCCGTCCACCGGCCACTGTCCGCCGTCGGGCTGTCCCGTGTCCACTGTCAGTTGTCAGTTGTCGCTTTCGCACTTGCTTAGCTGCACGCTGACCACGACAGATTTCTCATGCAAATAACAAACAGCGCCTGGATGCTGTATGTGTGCTCGGAGCTGGGCACGGACTTGCAAGGCATTGACTCGCATCATGCGCTTGTCAACTCTGAACATGCTGCAAAGCTGCTTTGGCACACAATGGCCAGCTACATTATGCATTAGTTACTTAGTTAAATACTCAAGGGAAGCGGCCAATGCATTAGCAATGCAGAATGAGTCTAGAGAGAGTTCGGCTAAAGAGTTTGCTTGCCGCCAGCCGATCGACTCCATGAGCTAATTTTAAAAATCTTTGAATTGAATATGAGCATGACTGGGTTTTGTGTTAAAAAGACCTAGAATATTCCAAATTTACTTGGGTAGTACGTGATTACGATATGAAACTAATTTTAACTAATTTCATAGATAGCTGAAAGTAAGTATAGTTGAGTATGAGTATACGAATGCATATTTCGTCTAAATATTGTGCTTATATTAGCTAGAATATTCCCAATAATCTACTTACTAAGGAAGATAAGCTCAAACGGCGCCCGAGCAGGGATCATCAGCTAATAATTTTAAGGAATTTCTATGCTTTATATGCATTTAAATGATTCATAAATACAAACATATAATCATATATATTTCACTTGTGTCTTCCATAGAAGTCTCAAAATTACAAAATTTATGCGCCAGCTCCTAGATGCGAACCTCAACCCAGCTGATTGAATCCTTATTCTGCTGGGTTTCTTCAGATAATGACAAATTTATCATATAGGCTGTTCGCTTGGAAAGTTTTTGTATATAAATAATAGCATATGGGTCTATCGGCCTTGCGGTACATAATCCGCAGGAAGAGTCATTATTGGCACCAAATATGATAAATCAACTGTTGACTTGGGGACGCGGGGACTTGGCACTGGCCATTGGCTGGCAACCCTCGGGCGTTGCGTTGCGAATATAACAACAACAACAAGAACAACAGACAAAAAAAAATAAATAATAATAGAAAAGGAACAACTTTTACGCAAGTCGTCGAGACAGACAAGAGACACCGTAAGACAATCACCTAAACGATGAGACGGACGTTGCCAGGTTTGCTGCCATTAGATGGGTAGATGATCTTGGCCAAGTTAGCGCGTAGCCGATGGCCAATTGCACATATTTAAGCGCAAAATACGACAGTTATTATTGTTGTTGTTGTTGTTGTTGCTGTTGCAATTGCAATTGCTGATCATCGAAGCGCAATCAATTAATTGACAAAGCACATTGATCGAGTCGAAGACCCAAGCGATGAATCCTCCTCGGCGATCAACTTTTTATAACAGCAAACAAGCCGTTTGTTGTTGCTGTTGTTGTTGCAGTCGGGTGTGCTGGGCTGCTGTAAGTAATTGAAAAATAAAAGAAAATGCGCGAAAATCGCAACGCATTAGCCGACATCATGCAAGGGGCCGAAGCGTGCGAACAATTTGGCCGTCGATTCGTTGCGCCTTTTGGCCAGAACCGCACAGCCAGAGAGACTTGTGCGCCGGGACTGGCCAGCGACTCGATTCTCATTCGTTCGTTCTTGCAGTTTAAGCCATTTGCATTTTGCATTTCTTGCAATTTGTATGCGTGCAGCGTGGAACGTGGAGTGCGGCATGAAATACGCGTTGCCCATTTGGCGCCTCGCACAGACACCTGAGACGTTGCGAGTCTCAAGCCGCTGGAGTGGCCCCTGGCCAGCCTAGACGCTGCACGATCCACCAAATGAAAATATAAACTTTAAATTTCCTTATTAAATAACGGTTGCCAAAGCGGCGTGCATAAAAAATATATATACATAGGCATAAGCCTAAGCACAAGCCGAAGCATTCAAGCCTAAGCATTCAAGCCACATGGAACTGAACTCCACTCATGGCAAACTCTTTCAGACGCAGGTGCTTTCCATATTGCGTTACCTCTCTCTCTGGCTAACCCCCCAGCAACACCCCTTGCCTGATCAATGCATCAGTGAGAAACTACTATTCATAATTGTTAGATTGCCAACGTGTCATAGCGCAAATGCGTGTGCAAATAAATCAGTCGAGAGACTTTAATTTTAGCCAAACACCTTGTCCCAGCTCGGGCGCCATTACACAAAAACAACTTTTTTCTCTCTCAATATTACTTGATATACTAGTCTGTTTATGATAAAATCTTGTTCGAATGTTAGAAGCATAAAGCTGCTTTCAATCGCCGAGAGAGGTCAAAATATCTGCAAAAGCAACAAAGTTTTTCCAACAATACAAGTTAGACACAAGCTTCCATAGTTTTCAAATAGACTAACATATTGTGGACTATCCTGTATTGGATGTTGGTCATTTTAAATGTATTTTAAAGAATAAAGAAAGAAATGTATTTAATATAAATTAATATAAAAAAAATTTAGTTTTTATGTCTTAAGACTCTTTGGCTTTGGCAATCTATTTATTTTGCTTTAATCCTGTCCTGTCAGGACAAGAAAATTTTAGCTTTCTGTCTGGCTTGAATTTTGCAAATATTCAACATTTTTATATATATTATTTAATTTGTAATTTTGCCCAAGGAAAAGAAGCACACATTAACATCTAGTTTTCTAGCGTAATATATAAATATATATTTTTTTTTTTTAATTATAATTAAATCAATATTCTTGACTTACATGTGCGTAAATAATTGTATTGAAGTCCATAAAGTCCAAGGAGCATGCTGAAATTAAAGAACGATATTTTTGAAAACATTTCTCAATATTAATTCAAGTGTTCATAAGTAAATAAATAAGTACAGTTAGCATAGCATGAATATATGATTCAGTTTATGTAGCTTATTAAGTTTCTATCCACTCGCAGCTTCTGTTGGGTTGCGACATCAGCTATCTATATAGATATCTATATTTTCTGATATCATTGATTTTATACATTTTTAAATTTTAACATTTTGTTGTAAAATATTTGTTCTGGTGCTCACTTTTAATATCATTTTTATGAACTTGCTGCAGTTGTTTGATGTCTGAAGTGCTATAAAAGTTGAAGAGTATTTTGTCGTTCAGGCTAGGCTACACAAAATATGTAAATTGATTATATATTTTTTTTTATGGAGCTTATTGAAAGAATTTGCATGCGTCATTCAATAAAATTGACAATATATCTTAGTCTATTATGTTGCTTTATTTTTCACTAAAGATTTTCTTTTCTCTTTAACTTGATTGAATTCATTTTTATGTATCTTCTTTTGCTTTTTGTCATTTGTTGCCCAATTAGGATTCTCTATAGAAAGCCAATGAGTTTATTTTATTTGATTGGCTTTTAATGAATGCCATTCCCTTCCTCTTACCGCTCATCATGCACTCCCATTGTTAACCGGAGACTTGAAGATCAATTCGTTTCGATGTGATTTCATTTCGATTCCATTACCCTAAAATTTAAATTTCATTCTTGTTGTTTGGTCTGCGCCCCGTTGGCCCAGTGTATTAACAATTTTTATAGATTTTTAATTGGTCCAAATGTAAGTTTTGGCTTTTTTTTTTTTCATTTTTAAACATGCAGCAAGGTCGCCAGCCCTTTGATGGACGGCATTTTAAAGGTGTCGCCTCTATCGACAAGCACATTCATTTGCATAGCCAACATGGGATTGGCTTTCTTTTCGGGCACTATGTGGGCTTTGATGGGGCTTCTGTGTAGAAGAAGAACTTGCTAAATCTCAAAATTAAGCAAATTCGAAGGGCGCCGTTACATTTATTTAAATTGTTATGTTGTGTCTGTTCTATTTTAAGAATTTAAATTAGTATAAGCCACGAGTTTACAATTTATAGCTGATTTTTAATCTAAGATAAAATATAATCTTATTTTGAATATGACAGATATTGCTCTTTAACTCATGTCAAATGACAAAAATATTTATATTGCTGGTTAAATGCCTGATCTTAAAACGTTTAAGAATATCAGACATAACATAAATAAAAATTTGCACTTTTAGAGCAAAGGGGGCGACGTTCATACTATGAGCCACGATTAGGATTAAAACAGAAATAGAGATACAAAAAGAGAATGAGAGAGTGAGAAAAGGTTTTTCATGTCTTCAAGATTTAATCAACCTGTTAACCGTTTGATTGACAACAAGCAGCCAGTAAAACGTTTACGAATGTCACTCAAAGCAGAAACAAGAAAAAAACAATACTTTACGAAACAGTTACGACAGGTATCTAAATATTGTTTTGCTGACAAACCAGACAACTATCAAAACGTTTACGAACGAGGAATAACGAAGAATTGGAAAGAACGGAATTGCCTGCAGGGAATAAGAGCGTGATATCTCATGTTCCTTAGCAATGTTCTATTAAGGAATTCCTCAACCCAAACTAAAACAACTTGTGTTATTCGACAGCGAACTTCCGTTTCCCATAGCGGCGTACTTTGTGCGTGATTTGGGCTGCGGCATTTCGCGGTACTCCGCTTCAAAAGCATCTGCGGAAGCGCCGCACATTCTCCAACCGTTGTTGTCTTCCCATTTATTTACTTTTTTTTTGGCGTTATTTCTAACCCAAATCGAGCTGGATAAAATTAATATGTTCGTTGCCCCGCCCTACTCCACTTGCAAAAGGACAAAAGATGGACGAGAATTTCCTCTGCTAGAGACAGGTTTACAGGGTTCAGCTTGGTATTCTGTTTCCCAGGGCAACCCTTTCGAGCTGCCTTTTGTCGTTGCTGCGTCGAGCACCCTTCGCACTGATGTGCTGCTGTCTATCACAAATCTGTCACGAGGGTTGCTGCCGAACATCGTCAGGTGAGCAACGCGTTCGCTACCTGTGAACACATCCTCCTCCGCCTCCTACTCCATCTGCGCCAACGAGCGCTGCGCAGCGGCTGGTGGAAATGCAATGCAAAGTTGCTCTTTGCCTATCGATCAACACAATTTGAATCGCATTTCTGTGTGTCGGCGACGTGGGAACCCAGCACAGGTGATGTTTCCAACTCTGGTAGAGTTGCCGAGTTGCCTGAAATTTGATACACCCCCTGCTCTCTAGCACAGCTAGCTCAGCTGCCGCAGCAGCCCTCAAAATATTTGATTTGTTGCAAAAATATTTGCTTGCATCTTGAGTGAAGGTTGAGGTACACGGCCGGAGCTCATAATTTCCTATCGAGTTTCCGTTTGGTTTTGCCTTTGTTCTTGCTGTTGTATAATTTTTTGACGGCTTTTCTTTGGGAAATGGGAAATGGGATTTGGATAAAAGTCGCAGGGCATAATTAACAGAAATGTTGTGAGAGAGAACGGCAGCAGAACAGGCAGCAGCAGCAGCAACATATGTGAGCAGCATGGCAACAGTAGCTGCAACAACAACAACAACAACAACAACAACAACAACAACAACAACAACAACAACCGCAATAATGACAATCGCACAAATCAACAAATCACGATCAACGGCAGCCACACAAAACTCACGATTCCCGCTGCCCAAAATTCTAAAAAAAAAAAAACAAAAAAAAAACTCTCAAAATTGGCAAGAAGGGTTAGCCTACGGGTGTCGAAGACACAATACCCTTTACCCATGCCCATGGATATTAACTAAAATATATTCTTGTCATATATTGAGTATATCGGTTATACAAATTCGATTCGCCCCACTCATACATATGTGTTGGCTGCAACAAGACAAGAAAAGATTAAGCAATATAGATGAGGAGTCCAGCTTTGCAAATTGCCGATCAAGAATCTATATATATATATATACATACTTTATGGGGTAGATATCTTATGCCCAAAACTCGCTGAGAGAGTATATTGATCAAATTTGAGCATCAGTCTATGCAGTTTCAGCAGCAGCAGACGCTAATGCTTGCTGCGGAACAAGAACAGCGGCGTGTAGCAAGTGGCTGCCAACAACAACAGCAACAACAGCAACAACGGCAACAACAGCAACAACAACAATTGGCAAAGCGCTGCTTGAATGAACAGCCCAAGTGGCCCAAGCGCTGTGCCCCCTGCCCTCCTCGTCATTACCCAGCACTTGCTAGCAGCAATTGCAGTTGGTTGATCAGTCAGTCAGTCAGTCAGTCAGCCAGTTGTCATTGTGTGGCATTGTCAATTGCAAGCTTGCGATCTTGGCTTCTGGTTGTTGTCAACATTTGATCGGGGCGCATGCTTCAGTAGCTAACAAGACTGTGCCGCACACAAAATTGTGGCCAAAATGTGTAGGCAATTTGTCAATATGTTATGACAACGGCAACAACAAGCAGCAGCAACAACAACAACAACAACAAGCAGCAGCGATTGCCAGCAACTGCCAGCAGCAACATTATTGACATTAGGGCACCTGTTTGTTTTCCAACTTAAAACTATGATTACCGTTGTTGTTGTTGCTGTTGCCATTGTCATAGTTGCCGGCAGCACGCGTACGTACACACACACACACACACACACACTTGGGCACAACTCGTGACTGACTCGAAAGACGCCAGCGTCGAGTCGAGTCGACTCCAGTCGCAGACAACGTTAATCACAGACAAAATAAAAGCCACGTAAAGAGAGCCCAAGTGAAAGAGCCAAATGCTAGGCCAGGCTTGTTGCTGTTGTTGTTCCTGTTGCTGTTGCTGCTGTTGTTTTTGTTGCTCTTGCTTTTTAGGTTTTTGGTCAATGAACAAGAAAAATGGATTTTCACGGTTACATGCGTCGCGCAGTTCGCTCAGCTACATGCGAGTACTTGCACACACACACACACACACACACAAACCCAATACAGACATACAACACACAAAACACACACACACACACACAGAGACATTCAAGCATACACAACATGCATATGACATGTTGCCAAGAAACGGCAGCAGCCGCAAGAGCAACAACAAAAGCTCTGAAAATTGTCTTAAGCAAGTTCGCTGCCTAAGTCTTTCGTTTGCAGCAGCTGCTTCATAATCGTTGTTGCCAGCTATCACTGGCCTTTAAAGATCAACCATGAGTTGCCGAATTACATAATATGCAGCTACTTGAAGAGTAGAAACATTTCATTCGTGTAGAAATTAATTGACGAAAAGTCAAATATTTATGGGAAGCTGATAAGGCTTGAATAAAACAGTTTTGGCATACCGTAGAGTAGACACTGAACTAAATGAAAACTCGTTAGGCAGTTTTTGTTTTGGTTCCCATTAAGATTAGGTGCATCCAAAGATGGACCATATCGAATGATGTTACCCAAAAAAATGGTATTCAAATCCTGAGCTCAGCACATGTTTGAGCCCTTAGGAAACGAAAAATGTAAAGAGTAGATTTCGCGGGGCTTAACAAAACGCACTTCCTCTTCTTTGGGGCAGCCCTACAGTTGCCCACAAATTCTCACGCTGATCGCGGATGTTGTTGTTGCTGCTGATGCTATTGAAAATGGGCGTAAATGTACACGCCCTCGCTTGAGCATGAAAACTATGAGCATCATTATTATAGCTATTATACTTGTTATCATTGTGCAAAGAGCAGGCCGAACAGCAGGTAGAAAGGGCAGACAATGGGCAGGTAGGGCATTAGAAAGCGGCGTGCGCCCTGCCTGCCCCTACTCCACGCTTATCTCACAGACGGAAAGACGGCCAGGCAGTCGAACTGTCATTTGGCTGTCGCCTATCGCATTGTACTCGTCCTTGATCCTTGAACCTGAATTGTCACCTTTTCTACTTTTCACATTCTTTTCCACTTTCACTTGCGCTTATCGCACAGATTCT